CTCAAGGAAATGCCCATGTCCATATTTTGGCAAGTCCCACAATACTTCCTGATAGGGTGTGCAGAGGTCTTTACCTTCATTGGACAGCTGGAATTTTTCTATGAACAAGCACCTGATGCCATGAGAAGCTTCTGCTCTGCTCTGCATCTCACCACTATGGCACTTGGAAACTACCTAAGTTCTCTTCTTGTGACGATTGTCAGAAGTGTGAGCACCAAGAATGGGAAGGTAGGATGGATACCTGAAAACTTAAACTATGGCCATCTCCATTACTTCTTCTGGCTATTGACAATATTAAGTGTGGTGAATTTAGTCGTTTATCTCCTGGTTGCTAAGTGGTACACGTATAAAACACCAGTGGATGGAGTTAGTCTTCGATTGCCACAATTATTCCGAGCTTAAGAAGGTGAAGCTTGATGCACTAAAATTACTCTAATAAGTGTATTAGTCGTTTCAAGTAATATAATGATGAGAAGAATGTCGAATCCATAAAGATTGTATCTAATTAAGTACCAAAACAATTAATTTAAATTTATTTGAACAATGGAAAAAAAGGAATTTTAATTAAAATAACAAAAAGAAACTAACAATTAAAATAAAATTAACCAAGATATAAGGTACTAAGACATTGACTTCACTTCTGGATTACCAAATTGTTGAGTGTTATTGCATGTGATGGTGGATTTCCCTAAATTAATTAACTAACTTTTTCAAGTCAAGCTAATCTAATCAATCACTTGTTTGTTAAATTAATAATATCTCTATGTAATTTTAAACAAACTAATTAGCATAAAATTCTATGGAAAACTCTAGTTTAAGAAGGGGGAGCTACTAACTCTCTTCTCTTCCTCCACTACCACATGTGAGTTAATTACTTTTCAGTCACATAATCTAACACATGGTTTATGTTATTATTGGTCTAATTTACACAATTCTTTCTTAAGTTCATGCATAAATCACTAAATTAATTGAAAGGTGATCAGATTTCCAATGCATTAAGTTTAATAATATAAACTCCTCATCGAATAACTTTAATTAAAAGTATAAAAATCACAAAATCTACATTAAATTGATTAAGCTACATCATAACCCTAATAGAATAAATTAATTCATAATAAAAA